AGTCACTACCCATCATTTACATTTCACCGTGACATGGACAAAAATGTAACGTCAGCTTACCTCATGGCACGAATCCAGACTCTCCTTTGGAAAACATTGGCCGGGAAACGATAGAACAAGCACGTTTCATGCGAAGACCTCTGGCTGCAACTCGGAGCAAAGCAACAAACCATTGCGTAGCTAACTAGTAGCGCTAGCTTTAGCTAGCGTTAGCTAACGAAACGAACTGCCGAGTAAAATTGGAAAACACTGGTAATTAATTATTCTATAATTTGTAAAACTACGGTGTTATAAACGACAATTTCAAAAATACAGATTCTAATGGTCAGATATAGATATACATATACTAAAGATAGGCAGGTACTTGCTTTCAAGAAGAACACAGGGGAAAACAAACTTAGCGGGAGTGTTTACGTGTTCGGCGTAATGACGTAAACGGCCTCGACAATTTCTGTAGTCCTATTCAGCCACTTGGTAACAACCATCGTTTTTCAGACACGTAAACTCTTCAAAAATCCCCAGTGGGGTCACTGCTGATGTATTTAATGTCGTAGAACAAAACGTGATTTATCTCTTAAATTTGTGTCAACCACAGACCTTATTTCGAGCTATTTTCCAAAACCCTATGGAAAAAATGCATTGCTTTTTGAGGAAGGAACCGGAAGTGCTAAAAATGCTAACTTACTTCCGGGTTTTACGACGCGTCACTGCGGTTCTCTATACTGGTTTTAGGCAGGTCGTAGGCAGGAAGCTGTAAGCTGGAGTCTGAAATGAAGTGCTACATCTGTACATGTGCGCACATCAATTACTATAGCAATCAGGAAGACATAACACAAGTTAATAACGGGGAAAATTCTAGTTTTTGCTGCTTGTTCGGAGTCAGCACACACTCAACATCATCACTCTGGGTTCGGGGGTCTTTAGCTACTAGCTTCGTGTTAGCATGTTGCCTTTGCAGGTGCTTGAGAGGTTCTAGCCTGGACACAGTTTGCACCTTACTGTCACATTTCTGTCCTTTCTTCTGACAAATTCAAAATAATGGGCATACTTCCGCCCCTCGAAAGTTATAGCTGTTGATGACTCTGTCTCTGCACTGCAGCACAAACCCTGTGACAGTTGTATGTGGACAAGTCACGCAAATGTTGCAAATATAAACCTGCGGTGGAAATCCCTCTAGTGACTAGAAATATTTAAAATTGTTAAAAGTTAGACCTATCACATTTACCAATCGTATCTACCTCTGGAACTAGCTAAACTAGTTATAAATAGGTTTATTATTTACTTTCGTGTCGGGTCACTCATTCACTGGATCAGCGAGCTACATGATACAGACGGGCTGTCAGGAGAGGGAGAGAGAGGCGTTTATTATTCCTGTGTTATTATCAAAGTTACTGTAAACTTCTGAATAATGTAGTAACTACTCGAGTCTAGTCTGTCAAAGGGAGAATCTAGTAATTTTTTCGCGCAATGTTAATAACTATAGTGTGATTACTGAATTATAACAGTAACGCGTTACACCCAACACTGGACAGAACACATGAAGCAGTAGTGAGATCAGATCCGGTAGAGCCAGATCAAGGCTATAGCTGTCTTCATCTCACTCATTTATATATTTGTAGTGATCAGGACAGCCTTATCAAACATTTGAAACATAAGGGTGTTTGGTGATGCGCTGCCACATTCCTGCTCTGTATGGTATTAACTCAATCCCACGACCAATCAAACTTTATTTATATAGCACTTTCCATACACAAAGGGTTACAGAAGTGCTTCACAAACCAACAATACAAATAAATAACACCCCCCTACCCAGGTATTAAATAAATAGTTGGGCAAAACTTGATCGTTAAAAACACATCAACTAAAGTCAATAAACACAGGACTGAATAATACATTTAAAAAAAAGAGAATAAATACAATTCAATTAAAAGCCAAATAATATAAAATGATCAAAATAATACAGATTCAACAGCTTATTCAGAAACACTCTAAGGGAAATGTAAAGTCACAAATAGCCAAAGGGTATCCTAATGATAATGATTTCCTCAAAATCCAAAGCTTTCAGCAACTTTTCAGCGAGCTAATATTTAGCAAAAACAGATTTTTTGAACCAGAGCGCTCCTCCACCATACTGTCATTGGAATCTTTTATGATGAACTGTTAAGTCATTTTGGATAATTCTGGATTTTTTTTTCCAGGCGTCCCGTAGCTCCATTGTTTCTCATTCCTCTACATCTTCAGTGAGGAAGCTCGCTGTGGCTCCTGTGAGAGGCAGGAGGGGGGAGGGGAGGGGAGGGTGGGGGGCCTGCAGAGCTGCCGCTGCTGCAGCCAAAACCCAGACCTCTGTCCCCTGTCCTCTGCAGCGTCCGCAAGAAAAAGCCAAATCCTCAAAGAACCAACCAAAAGACGACCACACAGGTTATTAGAGGCACCAACACACACAATAAGTAATTAAACTGCTCGCATAACTCAAGATGATTATTGATACTTCTATAATATGTTTCATACACAGATGCTATATAATGAAGGATGATGGCGTGGAGCTGTGTGCCTGATAACATGGTCCTGATCACTTTCTTCTTTGTTTGTTTAGCAGATCCTGGTGTGAGGGTGAGCAGTGAGTTAGTAGCCTCTGTTCAGTCCTTGGTGGCCGTCCTCCAGCAGCAGATACACACTGGCAGTCACCAGGAGGCTACACACACACAGGAAATCAGAAGTCCTCAAGAAACCGGACTGACACATCATCTTCCAAACAAAAACGTAGGGAAATACTTCATTTACACATGATGATTTTGACGAGGGCGAAAAAACAACAACAACAACAACTGTAGAACAGAGCATGCTCAGAAGCATGATAAGATCTGCTCACTAGATGGTGATCTACAGTAAGTAGAGTAATGATGGAGGAGCACTGTGAGATACTACAGCAGCATGGCCCCATTGTTATACGACTTTTTTGGGACCAAAATGTGTCATTTCAGTTGTTTTTAAATCACCTTGCTGTGATCCTTGGTTCTAAGGTATAATCACTGTTAGGAGCCATACACAAAGGATCAGTGTCAGAGTTTGAACATGGGATGTCTCTGATGTGAGTGTTGTTGTTTGTCTCACAGAGGGAGGAGGAGCTGAAGATGCAGCTGGCTCAGAAAGAGAGGGAGCTGCAGCTGATGAAGGAAGGAGCGGAGGAGATCACCTCACTGAAGCAGCAGAACTACCTCCTGCAGAGCAAGGTGAACACACACACACACACACACACACACACTGGAGCAGATACTGACACGCTGTGTCGCTCTAATGAAGGTGGATAAAACAAATTCAGATTTGCCAATGATCAATCTTACAATTGTTATTAGATGCAAAAATGAGTGAAAAATAAATGGGCAGTTAGTAAGCTGTTACTTTCTCTCCTTAGCTGCGAAGTGCAGAAGACGAAGGTCTGAAGAAGAAACGAGCGGAGGCCTCTGACTCTGCCTCTGGGGAAAAGCTCCAACAGCTTGACAGAGAAATGAAAGAGCAGGAGACGCTCATCAAAGGATACCAGCAGGTTTGTTTCCATCAACACTCCCCCTCTAATGTTCATTTAACACTATGACCGCCAGAGGTCGCTGTATACCTAAAACCGCCAACGGGTCAAATGTACCCGCTATTGATTTTCAAGGTACAATGTTCTTTTATTTATCATACAGAACAGTGAGTTTTGATCGCACAGGGATGAAACTTATACCAATAGAATATGTGGACTCTCAGCTTTTCATATGATATAGGTTGTGCAGATAGCA